GGTATTCCTCTGTACTCAAGAGTTTGTACCAGGACTTTATGGCTACATCTTTTCACTGAGAAAGTATATTCATGGTACGGGTTCACATTTAGGACATTTGCAAGTGTTTTTGCTTGGTGATTTCCCTTTAATGCTGTTGGGAGTAATACCCCGAATTTCACAGATGAGAAACCTGGTATAGGAATAATGAATTTATTATATACAAGTGTTTTAAAACTTATTTGGAGAGCTCAAGCTATTCAACAAAACAAATTATGCACAAGGCTGAATCACTGTGTTATAAATAACTACAGTGTTTACTTCAATGCCAGGAATTTATGGAGATGGAGAAAACTATTTTTCTGATTATGTCGGTTTTTTCAACGTGTGACACTACCAAGTACCTTTTCAGCATGCTTTCTTACAAACTACTAAAGATTTTTTTAAAAATTCTTTTTACCTCACACTATTGAATAAATCTCCTCAGTAACCAAGAAATAATTTAGCACTATATATCCTCAAGACCTCTTCATTTTCTGCTTATTAAGATGACCGCCACCTTTTTCTTCCTCAAAACCAAACTGCTTTTTTCTCTTTAATTCAAAGTCTATTCAGACCTTAAGAAAACACCTTTCCTTCCTTCATGCCTGGCATAATGTATACAAGAGAATACAAAGCCCAAGTCTTCTCTTATTAAACCAATCATCCAAGGGTTGGGTTTTTCCCTCCTTTCTTTTATGAACAGGTAAACTATTTAAGGGTAACACAATTCTATTACACAGAACTGCCGTCACAGAAAAGAAACGTTACTAATCCCCATTAAAAGAAACAATATTTTAAGTCATATGGGGTTTCAAGAGAAATCAAATCTACTACTGAAATTAGTCAAAAAGTATTTATCAAGAAACCAATTACCACTTCACGCCTAGTAGGATTGCTATAATTTAAAACAACAAGTATTAGTGAGCACAGGGAAAACTGGAATTCCCATATATTGCTGGTGGGAATGTAAAATGGTACAGCCAATATGGAAAAGTTTGGAGGCTCCTCAGAAAGCTAAAAACATAAATACCGTATGACTTAGCAATTCCATTCCTAGCTGTATGCCCAAAGGAATTGAAAACCAGGGACTCACGCATATTTGTACCCCAGTGTTCACTGAAGCATTATTCTCAACGGCCAAAAGGTGGAAACAACCCAAGTGTCCACCAATAAGACGAATAAACAAAATGTGGAATATCCATACAATGGAATATTATTCAGCCATAAAAAGGAATGATGTTTTCATATCTGCTACAACATGGATTAATCATGAAAACATCATGCTAAGTGAAAGAAGCCAGACACAAAAGGACAAATATTTCAATAGCTAAAATAGGCAAATTAATAGAGAGAGAATATAGATTAGAGGTTACCAGGGGCTACAGGAAAGGAATAATAGGGAGGTATTGGTTAATGGTTACAAAGTTTCTGTTTGGGATAATGAAAAAATAGAAATAGACAGTGGGGATGGTTGCACAACATGGTAAATGTATTAATGCCACTGAACTGTATGTACACTTAAAAAAAATCATTAAAATGTCAAATTGTTATATATGTTTTATATACTCAAAAATAACAACATACCCAAAATCATTGAATTAAATACCTTAAATGGGTGAGTTATAGCTCAATAAAGCTACTTATAAAAGAACCCAATAGACTTGAGGGTGCCACGATAACTGGAGATCACTAACATCAGTGAGTCTACACTGAGAGTAAAGCAAATTATTGTGACAGCCTAAGCAATGTTTAGTTGTGAAGGCAATCTGTAGTAATGCACCTAGTTTGCATCCGACTTCTTTAGTTCTGATAAACTTATAATAAAGCCTATGATAAAACTTAGGCCAATAACTATTTAAAATTAGGGGAGGAGGGCTATCAATCAAAATGGCACATATACTCAACAGGCCACACGTAACCTTTTTAAATACTTTACGTGAGTGAATCTCAAACACCAACGTAAGACAAAGCCTGTCATGGAAGTGTACACAATCAGGCCTGCAGATATCACGTGTTAACCACAGTCTTTCTTACTTACGAAAACACGATTTCAGCTACACAACAATGGCAACACTGGGGTTTTCATAGTTGGCAGGAAGAGCCAGAGATGGCTTATTCCCACCTCTGCTCAGGGTCCTTACTGCCAGGCCTGCCTTGCTTCCTGTGTGTGTTTCTTCTTAAAATTTCCACAAATCAAATTTTTACTAAACCAGACTATAACTGTCAATATCACTGTAGTTGATTTACATTCCAAAATTATAAACAAATCCTAAAAATAATTTGATAGTTTGGATTATCAGCTCCCCCTTCCATTAGCACGGAAAATGGAAAACTGCTGGTATAGAAATTATAACTGTGTGTGAAGGGTAAAGGATAGGTTAGATATTTTGCTGTCGGGTTAAAGAATGGATGGGGTTTCTAGTCATATGGATTAATGTGACCACAGATAACCTGAAGGGAAGTCTGGGTTTGGGTTATTTTTAGCTTAATTTGAGAGTTTTTGCTATAAAACCAAAATATACTGTATTTACTTTAGAAGATTTAACCAACACCCTGATATAAGTTCAGTGTTACCACTTAATTCAATCTGAGCATGTTTTTCCATAAAATTATCAAACTGACTAAAGCATACTCCAAAAATGGAAGAAAATAAATGGATTTTAAAATCATTTAAAGTCATTTTGGGAAAAGACTTAATACTAATAACTGAACCAGACAAGAACCAAGACAGGGAAACAATAAGAAGAGAAGCTCTAAACATGGACAAGTGGTTTATAACACTGTGAGCTACCCTATATAGAGGAACTTACTGGATTGAGGCTTACGTTTCTCAATAGTGGAACAAAACAAAACATTACAACATGGAACTTTCCCCCAAAGGAATGTGAGGAAAAGCTTTTAAGAGAAGCTGGACGAATGACATGAGGAAAAAATTTTGTAATGGCTATGAGCATCGGATGTTTTTAATTCACCAGGTTAGAAAAAATGATCGTGAAAAGAGCATGTTGGGTCACAGAGATGTGGCGGTTTCATAATTAAATACATTATCCCGAATGGGCCCATTTTCTCTGCAGAGAGAAGAAACCCTGCTCCACGGTCATGTACCAAACTTTACTGTGGACATTTGTCCTAGACAGTGTGATTTAAATAGTCTGTCGTTGCAGCAACATTCCATGGAACAAGCAAACAGCAAGAAGTTACATAAAGTAGACAGAACTAAGACACAGGAGGCTTCCTTCTAGTTGTAGCTCTAAACCTGTACTTTCTGACTGAGCCATCCATCCTCTCTGGTCTCAGTTCTCTTAACTGAAACAGGACAGTTTCTAAGGTACAAAAACCTCTAATACTTTTATATAAAAGTTAAAAATATCGAGAAAGAGATGACCCAGGACCTTAATAGATGCTCTAAACTCACAAGCCAACCTCTGAGCAGAAGAAAGCTCAGGTATAATACGCCACAGGTAAATCTTAAGAGTTACTCTTCTTAGGTCCACAGAATAGAACAGAACGAGACCTGTTTCACTTGGAGTTCTTCCCAAGTTATTAATATATGAGCAACAAACACTGAGCCTAAAGCCAGACCTTAGGACAAGAGAGCATAATGATCTGGGGCCAGCTGGCACAGGAATGGGCTTAAACACCTCTATCACAATGTTACTGCATGTCTCAATACCGGTTGTGTGTAATGATACAACCTTCAGTACTAAGAAAAAGTGAAATGATGTTAGCTATACTCTGCCTAATAAGGCAAGGAAACACAGTTTGACTATGACCATTTAAACATCTAAAAAATAAACTTCTGTTAAAAAAGATCAAGCTATAAACAACCCACCGTAAAAACCTACTGTTTTTCAGACAGTGGGTCAGTGACATGTTTCTACCCAGAGCAGAGATGATGAAGGGCAATGGAAAGCCCATTCTGTGAACAAGCTTCAGCTGCTGTTATTTCCTTTATAAGAACAGGAAAAAGAAGCTGGTGAAAACTTCAATTTAGAAGGACCCAGAATATTTCTGCATTTAGAAAGATGCCTCCTGTGGGGGGAATGCAAATTGGTGCAGCCACTATGAAAAACAGTATGGAGGTTCCTCAAAAAACTAAAAGTAGAGCTACCATATGACCCAGCAATCCCACTCCTGGGCATATATCTGGACAAAACGATAATTCAAAAAGATACACGTACCCCCATGTTCATAGAAGCGCTATTCATAATAGTCAAGACATGGAAACAACCTAAATGTCCACTGACAGATGAATGGATAAAGAAGATGTGACACACATATACAGTACTCAACTATAAAAAAAGAATGAAATAATGCCATTTGCAGCAACATGGGTGGACCTAGAGAATATCATACTAAGTGAGGTAAGTCAAATGGAGAAAGACAAATACCATATGATATTGCTTATAAGCAGAACCTAAAAAAAAGAACCTACTTACAAAATGCTTACAAACCAAATACAGGTATCTCTACTCAATTATAGTCGACTATCTTTTATTATACCACAATGCAGAATGTCTTCTGGGAAAGCAGTATATGCAAGTTTTTAATCAATCAGAATAAAGACTACAACCTGTAAATTTGTTTTTTTAAGCCACATACCTTAAACAAAAACCTCACGTGTTAAGGAAAGCCAAGATTTTCATCTATTCTTGACTTAGACTTAGCCACTGAGAGTATAATGATGGTCAAACTAAACTGTACATTACCATGGGATGTGACTGGGCTGAATAAAGACCCACATCATCGGGTATTTTGAGCACTACAGTCAAAGCTAGAGAAGAGCAAAGTGTTACTTAATAGTTTGCACATCTAACCACAATTTTAGGAAAAATTTCCTTAGAGGGCTAATTAATTAATCCCTTGCTGTTAGATCGAGCAGTCCTATTCCTTCCATTTGATTTCCTGTCCAAAGAGGTTCTATTACTTCCTACCACCTCATAAGGAAGCCCCCAAAGATTAACATCATTAGTACTTACATTCAAAGCATTCTTTGCAGCTTCTGCTTCTGAGCGACTGTCAAAACTGACAAAACCTACGGGCTAAGGAAAGAAAAAAAAATATGAAGAAAACAATATCTGGGGATGTCTATTTTTCTGGGTCAAAGGTGATATCAAACTGAAGAGCTAAGATACAGAAATCACCACAGGCAATGGGTAGAAACAAGAAAGCCAGTCCAGAAGAATCATGACTCAGTGGCTTAGCCAAATTTCTAACACGAATCAAAGGGATTGTGAGGGTGGTTCTTCAAGGGCACAGCTGGAGATTTAGAGAATCATAAAAAAAAATCTAGAAGGGGCTGGAAGGTGAGCAGCAGTGAACAAGGGAACAGAGGAAAACTTGGGTGGAAAGGCTCTACTTTCCTAAATTGAATTCACTGTACCTCAGTTTCTTCATCTTTTAAAATGGAAAGAGAACCGAATCACCTTTTGGTACACTGTAAGTGCAAGGAATATAATGACACAATGATAAAAGCCCTGTATTCTCACTGCATGATCAAAATTATATCATGAACATTTTAATCTCAAACCCCAAGGGATGCCTTTAAAAAGCTGTGTGTTTAATTAGGTGTATAAACCATACTGTTCCAACTAAAGAGAGGGGTCACAATTCCTTTGGACTCAGTATCTTTCAGTCCAGAAGGATGGTTGCAACATAGCTTATTCTCTGATGAACCAGAGAATACCTTATTGAGAGATGAAAAGTGACCCAGAGGGAGGATGCTGGTTGCTCAGCATTTAAAAAAAAAAAAAAAAAAAGAAGCACATAGCTACAAATTTTCAAGACACCTGCAGAAACTATCAGGGTCATTGGTTACTACCTCCATTCTGTACCTTTTATGCTCCATTCTAGACCTGAGACTCTGCCTGCGGTTATTAAGGGTTTAAGAGACAGGCTGATTCTTCGTCATCAGATTCCCATACTGATTGTGAATGAAAAGTTTGCCTGTTTAACGTTACAAAAAAACAAAAACAAACAAAAAAAACACCCAGGAAAAAATTGGCAATAAAAGTGAATTTGGATAATAATCAATAATTTCTTTTGAATATACAGATCAATCCCAATATAACTATGCTGGATGCATTATATTTACCTTCCTTGAGGACAGACTCAGACACTCTAGCTGGAGGCTATGGAATTAGGAATCACTTTCCTGTGCTAATTCCTAAGCAATCTCACCCTTAATTTTAGAGCAACAACAACAACAAAATAAAATCTTAATGGAAATAAAAAAAGAATGTCGAGCCCTAGTAACATTCCTGAAGAAAGCCAATCCAAACTTACTGTGGACGCGATCATTTATGTGCAAGTCTGAAATTCTTACCTGCTTAGATGTGAGCTTTATAAGAGAACCCTCGTAGCCCTGAAAATAAAGAACCAAACTTAGACCAGAAATAAAGAGTAATAGGAGAAAAGATCAATTGTAACAGCATCCTGCTCAAGTGAAAATGAGTCCCTTATGACTACTGACCAACTCTTCTCACAAACGCCTGTTCATTGGGAAAACAAATTTTATACACACACGCACGCATGATGTATACGCCAATCTTTGCATACTTGGGCCTAAAAGAAATCAAGCCCTGAAATTCATGCACTTATGTTTCTTATCTCTATATATTTTATGAAATTCAGAAAAGAAACATAAGTGCATGAATTCATGAAAATGCATAGGGAAAAGAAACATAAGTGCATGAATGCACTTATGCATAGGAAAATGGTGTCTATGTCAACAGCAGGTCTTTTTCATTTTATAGAACTAGGAGAGGGAAGGGGATAAATTAAGTTAGGAAGGTCAGAGTGTGTGATGACTTGGTCATATATTTGCTATAAAACCATAAAACATTAAGATCGTACTTGGTAGAACTTAATGAAAATTTCAAAACTTCCAGGAAAGGTTAAATAGGCAGTGATGCTAAAATCTTTTGAGTTCTTTTGCTTATTTATTGCAGCCATCAGTTTTTCACATTGGTATTCTGATTGGGAGATGTGAAAATTCCCTGTTGGGTTTTTACTCCAGCTCATCCTCAAGGAAGATGGAAACACTCCTTTCACTCCCTCCCTTAAGCCCTCCTGGCTCCCCAGGATAAGGATAACAAAGTCTGTTTATTTCTGAAAATAATCAATGACTGTTAGCTTGCACTGATGGATGACACAGGAGGGGAAAAAACAACACTTGACATGATTGACCACCACACGTATCGGTGCAGAGACAGATTTGCAGACGAGGGTCAGACTCTGGGGACTTTAATTAAAAGAGGGTTAGTGGGAATGTACCAGGGTCCTGACTTCAGCGTTTGGGTTTCTGGGCAGCATGTTGGGACTGATTCATCCTCCTATTTTCCCAGCAGAGAACGATGTTACTAATTAGCTACTGTAAACATTTTACCTCCAAGGCCTTGAGCTCTTCTAGCCAGAGAGGTCGTGATTCACAGCCCCGCCTCTTCCTTTTTCAAGGTGCTTTCACTCTTTGAAAAGCCTGAAGGTTTAAACACCCTGAAGGCCTCAGAGGCAGAGGACAAATGGATATTTCACTCAAGTAAAAGACCACCAGTAGGGATATACTGTCCTCTCGAGTCACAAAAAGAGAAGCAGTATCAAATAATAGTTCAGATGAGGGATGACTGCTTGGGTTTGAATCCTGGCCGTGCCATTTATTATGTGTGTAAACTTGAGCAAAATGTATTCAACTGCTCCAAGTTTCATTTTCCTTATTTGAAAAAAATGAGGCTAACCCACTTTAAAGGACTGTGATGAGAATTAAATGAGATAATAATTCTTAAGGGGCTTGCTGGCTAAATCTCTCTGTATGTATACAAAAACATAACTATTTATGTTATGTTGGATACATACTATTGGATACATACGAGGATCAGTTAGCTTTAAAAAGTCCTCATCCTACAGAAGAGACAGACAGTAAAAACTACAACCCTGCAGAAGAAACTCGGGAAATTCTATAAAGCTGGCACTCTCCCCACAATACCTTCTCTTTCTTTCCCACTTCCTCTAGCCAACCTCATGGCTAACCTTTCTCCTTCCCTCTGTAATGTCATCATTATTGTTGCATTAAAAGGAGAGCTGTCAGAATGGAGTTATGTCCATTATTACACGCTGCCTTTGGGGCACATAAACTAGACTGTTTTATCTTTGTTGGTTTTAACTCGCTGCCTGCTCAACCATCCTTCTCCTTCTACTACCCAACTGTTTTCAGCTGTCGCATCCTACTCTCTCCCCCTAAGAAGTTAGATATTGTCCCTCAACCTGTCTTGCCTCTGTGGCTGGGGTCCTGCTTCAAATCAGGATGGATCTTTAACCATCAATCAAGGTGGCCCATCACGTGATCGTAAGTGTGGCCCCGGCCAGGCACTGTTGCTGACATGTCCTCAGGTGACGTGACCAGGCCAGACACAGGCCCTGAATCTGTCATGACTTCCAGGTTCACTCCTTGAGAGCCAAAGCCTTCAGCCCACATCATGCCCAGCCCCAGCTACCCTACCCTACCCTACCCTACCCTCCAAAGGCTAACCTTCAAGGTTTCTCCTTGGAGCATGGTTATTTCAGCTTTAGTTCAATTTCCTGTTAAATTTTCAATCCCAGCTACATTCATTATCTCTAAAATAGTTTTATCTTGATAGTCACAATGGACAGACAACTTGCATTAAATATTTCACGAAGCAACAGGAAAGATTTCCCTCAACTCATACCGAGCAATTCTTTAAAATTTTGTTTTACTGTTTTTGCAACTTTGGACATTTTGCCCATGGCAAAAATAATGGTGTTAGTTAGGTTCCTAGTCTAGTTCATAAAAGCCTACTTAACCTATTATGTCTCCAAACAATAGTATTAACAGCAGTATTTCAACTGATAAGGAACCTCCTTGGGGTAGGGCTTGACTTTTACTGCATTTGAAATATAAATACAGAATAAGTCATTGATAGTATTTTTGGTGATCTGTACTCAGAAGAACACCCCTAATTGGCAAGAGGATAAACAGGGAGGACACTAAAGCTGTTCTGTAGAACAGAAACAGATGCATGTCCACCTCGGTAAGAGACTTCTCCAGATTAGCTACTGGGAGGACAAAAGGCAGTTTCAGTCCTTCCAAAGTGAAAATGTATATTAGGACCGAGTTGTCAAATCTCCTTTACTCACTAACCTTTTAAAAACAGTGCTTTCACAGACATTTCATTTCTTTCTACAAAAAGCCCCAGGAAGCTTATACACACACTCTTTGTCTCCTTTTACAATTTCTGAAAGATAGAAAAGGTACCTTAAATGGTCTGAAAAGCAGATACAGCTCCCGAGGTTTGATATCCAGAGGGAGACCACTGACAAAGAGAGTCCGGACCTAGAAGATAAATACAAGAAGTGATCATGGGAGTGGACAGTCATAGAATAGCTCACCTGAAATCCCCCAAACACATTTCTTCAAATACTCCTCGACTCCTACCTAATTCATGCTCTTTCCATGACACAATGACTGCTCTAATGTTAAGATGCCATTAAGCCAACTCTTGAGTAGCCCTGTGTGATTCATCAGAGTGAATCACTTCTAGCAGATTTAAACGTACAAACTGACTTCTTTCCTAGCCATTGCCTGGTTCTAAACATGTGAAGGGAAAAGAGGGTCCATAGGGCTTCCCTGGTGGCGCAGTGGTTGAGAGTCCGCCTGCCGATGCAGGGGACGCAGGTTCGTGCCCCGGTCCGGGAAGATCCCACATGCCGCGGAGCGGCTGGGCCCGTGAGCCATGGCCGCTGAGCCTGTGCGTCCGGAGCCTGTGCTCCTCAATGGGAGAGGCCACAACAGTGAGAGGCCCGCGTACCGCAAAAAAAAAAAAAAAAAAAAAAAAGAGGGTCCATAATTAAAACATTAGCTTAAGGAAAACAAAAATGTCATGAGGACAGTAAATCTACCACTCCCCTCCGCTCTAATCAAATGAACACAGAATGTGCTTCAAAAATACAACTGAACCAATTTTTTTGTCCTACTTTGTCTTGTCATTGCTTCCCTCATTGGCATTGATAATTACAGTAATTTTAATAAATGTAGAAGTTTATTAAACAATTGAAATGTGTCTAAATAGTAGCCAAATGCATAACCCTGTGTCTGTTCAGTTCTGAAACAGCAGGGCAGACTTGGCTGTACCGTAAGGGCTACGGTACAAAATACGTACTTAATGTGTGCTAAAATACAGAACACGGATGACATTTCCAGCTGGGAGGATCAGAGTAAACGTGTGGGCATCTGAATGGAAACTTCAAGGATAGGTAGGATTTTACCACATAGATATAAAAAGGTGAGGTGGGGAAGAGGCACAGGCAGATAAAAAGCATTAACCAAGGCAATGAAGAGGGGGATGACAGCGCAGTGGATTCTGGGAGAAGGGGAGCCAAAAGTGAACAGGTAGTGGAAGATCAAACCGAGGGGGGATGACGTCATCGGCTCAGGAATATGGTCTTGATTCAATAGGCAAGGAGTAAACACTGAATCATCATCACTGCCACATTTTGTTTCTACTTATTTTAGTGAGTCTTTAGTCAGACCCACCCCCCAGCTTTGAGATATAGTTGACACATAATATTAAGTTTCAAATGTACTTTTTGACCTAATAAACTTTTATGTACATTTCAAAATGCTTACCACTACAGCATTAGCTAACGCCTCCATCACACCACAAAATTACCATTTCTCTTTTTGAGATGAGAACACTTAAGCGCTCCTCTCAGCGACTTTCAAGTACACCTATAATGCAGTACCTTAAATATACTTACAATACTGTGCATTAGATTCCCCAAAACTTGCTCAGCTTCTAACTGGAAGCCTGTATCCTTAGGTCAACATCTGCCCATTTTCCTCACCCTCCAGATCCAGGGAACTAACTACTCTGTTTTTATGAGTTCGGTTTCACCCCCATGTTTTCTATTCCTCTTCTCTACTCAAGCTGATAAAACATGATCGAGTTTCTCATTAGAAATCACGTTACTACTCAAAGGAAAAAAAAAAAAAAAAAAATCAATGCTCAGTTGTAATGCCATTTGCATGTAGGTGTACAATAAACACTACGATCAAGTAAACAGCCCCAGAATCATGAGTGCCTTTTTATTATTTGCTTCTTTATATCTTAGACAGCTTTATTGAGGTATAATTGACACATAAACTGTACATCTTGCTTTACAATACGTTTTGACATATGTATAACCTGTGAAACCGTCACAGCAATCAAGATAATGAACATATCCATCACCCCCAAAAAAGTTTCCTTATCTCATGCTCCTTTAATCTTCCTTCTACCTTGTCCTACTATCCTCATCCCCACGCAATCACTCATCGGCCTTCTGTCACTACAGATTAGTATGTATGTTCTAAAGTTTCATACAAATGGAGCCATAAAGTAGGTATCCTTTTTCGTCCGACTTCTTTCACTTTAGCATAATTATTCTGAGATTCATCCACAGTGCTGCATGTAACAATAGTCTATTTTTATTTCTGAGCAGTATTCTGTGGTATGAACACTCACAGTTCATTTATCCATTCACTTGTTTATGAGACATCAGGGTTAGCTCTCGTTTTTTGGCTTTTACAAATAAAATGACTATGAACGTTCATGTATCGATTTGTACAGGTCTTTGTGTGGACATATGTTTTCTTTCTTCTTGGATAAGTAGCTGAAAATGGAATAGCTGGATGATATGGTAGGTATATGCTTCAACTTTTAAAAAACTGCCCTTCAATTCCTTGTTTTACAGCCTAGAACATGATAAATGTTCTGTGTGTATGTAAAATAAATGAATATTCTGTTGCTGTTGGGTATAGTGTTTCATACATTTCAATTAAGGTCAAGTTTGTTGTTCAGTATACCTTTTGCCTCCCCCTTCTCTCTCAACTTTGCCAGTGATAAACACTCTTTCCACAGAACTTTCTCTATCAAAGCTGCTAAGGCTGAATTACTGACAACTGCCGAAGACATGCACAAGGGAATTCTGCTATCCTGCGCACCCTCTCTGCTATCCACATCCCTCTTCCCACGTTCCAGAAAGTGAACACCATGTGTTCTACTTGGCGGCTCCGGCCACGACAACCTGGATAGAGAAGGAATCCCAGCTTCCACTCATTCAGATTTTGTTGAGTGCCCATTGTACCTGGCACTATGCCAGGTGGTGAATGGATTACACAGCGTTCCATGGAAATAATGATAAGCGGAGCCTGTGTTTTTATCACTACAGTACCATTTGTCCAGCAGGAAAGCTTAGCCATGTGACAGGTATCAATTAGGATCTGGGGAGTTAACTCAGGAAATCAACTATCATTCCTAGCACTATTCTAAAGAAAAAGGCTTTAGAAGCTTGCAAGTCAAACAATTTATCAAAAAAAAAAAAAAAAAAACCAATAGAAATCTGGGAGTTAAATGAAAGATTACTTGGTATAAATTAAGGTTCATCTACATCCATAAAATGTATTACGCAACCAATAAAAATTATGTTCAAGGAAAAAGTACATTCAGTTTTATTCTACAGAACAAAAAGCCAACACATGTATGTATACGGAAAGGGGGAAAAATACACCGTAGGATATATATGCCAAAAGGTTTATATCTACATTACTTAGTCCTGAATGGTGGAATAAAAAGTGATTTTTCTTTTTTCTTTTTGGCTGTGCCATGTGGCACGCGGGATCTTGGCTCCCCGACCAGGGATTGAACCCATGCCCCCTGCAATGCAAGCACAGAGTCTTAACCACTGGACCTCCAGCGAAGTCCTAATAAGTGACTCTGATATTTTTTATTAGCTTATTTGTATTTTCTATCTTTCTATAATAAGCATGTTTTAGAGACTATAAATGCATTGTTAGGCTGAGAACAGCCTACATTTTTTTATTACTTTATTTAGGAAACCATAAATAATGTCAATATTTGTATCAATAAAAATTGTGACGTTTATACACTTTTTTATATATTTCAGAATTAGAAGATTCTTATCTCAGTATCTCAACAAAAAAAACCTGTTAAACATTAAAAAAACAACCAAAAAAACCCCACTGAACTGATAGGCCTAAATTTGCCTCTCGCCCATGCATTAAAAAGAGACTCAAGGCCACTCTGTTTTGTTCATCAAATTAGAGGCAACTAAGATGTCTGACACTTTATTTATACATGGACACGAATTACATTTCCTAGAATCTAGTGAAGCCCATTATTGTCTCAGAAACCTGCCAAGACATCTTATCTCTCAATGAAGAGCTATTCTCTCCTCTGACAGAACAGATAGACTGGCTAGGAAAAATAACTCTTAAATACTTACATTATGAAGTTATGAGGACAACTAAAGGTCTCTTAAATCCAAATGCTTGGAATCTATGTGTTCTGAATCCTTTCTAGACCTCCTCAGACTGGGAAACTTCATTAAGTTAAAAAAAAAAAAAATCACGGATAGTGAATGGAAAAAAAACCCTCTTCCTGAATATCTAATTCATGCTTTTCTATGGTAACTGGGACCTAAAATCACGGGGATGTTTTAAAACATTTTAGTTTCCCTACTCTTCTCACCACCACTCGTTTTATCTGAGCCATTAAATAGTAAAGCACTTCTGGGTTTTGCCTTTGCTATGTCTATGGAAATCGCAAAGGTTAGACATGATTTTTTTTTTTTTGGCCGTGTGGCATGCGGGATCTTCGTTTCCCAACCAGGGATTGAAACCACGCCCCTGGCAGTGGAAGCGGGAGTCCTAGCCACTGGACCACCAGGGAAGTCCCTAGACATGATTTTTTTTTTTTTGAGAATCGATTGTTTAATCCACATTGATTGATAGTAAATCAAACAGATGAGAGGAAAAAGGCAATCTAATTCTGAATTTAATTGGCCATTCGGTTTAGTCAAATACCATGTGACTGCACGTGTGGACATGTAAAAGACATCTGCTCTGTCTGCTGGATTCCCTGATAGCCAGCAGTGCCGGGCAACAGCCTCTGCCTGAGGGCAGAAATACATGCAGAGAGCCCCGAGTATATGCCCACCAACAGTGCAGGAGGGTTCCCTTTCCTAGACACTGATTCTTGCTTGCAGGGAGCTTACTGTCACTGAAGGAATATGCAGCTTTCTGTGACAAGAGGAAGCTTAGCTCATTCACAGAGTAAACAATTAGAACCCAAACAATGAGATCAAAGTTTAAGAGACATGTAAGATCCATGATCAAATACTCAGAAAAAAGCGCCCCAAAACAAATGAACGATGCCAAATGAACTTTGTCGCAGGTCAATCGTCTTCCAGGGCAACCCTTAATCTAACAGCATTGTCTATGGACACAGATGTGCCTGGCACTACGCCTTTAGCATTGCAGATGTCTACTTTATC